TGTCACCTGTCACCTGTGTGTGTCACCTGTCACCTGTCACTGTCACCTGTCACCTGTGTCACCTGTGTGTGTCAGCTGTCACTGTCACCTGTCACTGTCACCATCACCTGTCACTGTCACCTGTGTCACCTGTCACCTGTGTCACCTGTCACTGTCACCTGTCACTGTCACCTGTGTCACCTGTCATTGTCACCTGTGTCACCTGTCAGTGTCACTGTCACCTGTCAGTGTCACCTGTCACCTGTCATTGTCATCTGTCACCTGTGTCACCTGTGTCACCTGTCTCACCTGTCTGTGTCACCTGTCATTGTCACCTGTCACTGTCACCTGTGTCACCTGTGTCACCTGTCACCTGTGTCACCTCAGTCACCTGTCACCTGTCACTACCACCTGTCACTGTCACCTGTGTCACCTGTGTCACCTGTCAGTGTCACCTGTGTCACCTGTGTCACCTGTCACTGTCACCTGTGTCCCCTCTGTCCCCTCCTTGTGGGGCCATGAGGGATCCCCCCCCCGGGCCCCCCCCCCAAATTCTCTCAGCACTGGGGGTGTCCTGGGGGTGACACACGGGGCGTCCCCGGCTCATTCCCGTGGTTCAGCCACATTTCCCATATTTTATCCACATTTTCCATCATTTTTATCCACATTTTCCATGGTTTAGCCACATTTTCCATCGTTTTTTCCATATTTCCCATCGTTTTAATCCACATTTTCCATCGTTTTTATCCACATTTTCCATGGTTTAGCCACATTTTCCATCGTTTTTTCCACATTTCCCATCGTTTTTATCCACATTTTCCATCGTTTTTTCCATATTTCCCATGTTTTCCCCCTGTTTCTCACAGTGTTTTTTTTTAATTTTCCATGGTTTTTTTCCCATGTTTTTCTGGGGTCATTTTTTCCCATGTTTCCCATGTTTTCCATATTTCTCCATGTTTTCCTGTGTCATTCCCATATTTTATCCACATTTTCCATGGTTTATCCACATTTTCCATATTTTATCCACATTTTCCATCGTTTTTATCCACATTTTCCATATTTTATCCACATTTCCCATGGTTTATCCACATTTTCCATCGTTTTTTCCATATTTCCCACGTTTTTCCCCTGTTTCTCATGGTATTTTTTTGATTTTCCAATTCTTTTTTTCCATGTTTTTCTGGGGTCATTTT